TTAGACACGTTGAAGTGGGTAAGAAGAACAACTTGACTTTGTTGGCATCACCCCTCTCCCAAGCCTGCACAGCTTGGGGCTGTTTATTTCCTCCTCAGGCTAGACAGTAGGATCGTCCCATTTAAGCACTACCTCCTTAGTGCTCTAGATGATATGTGAGCCCCTTCGTTCATCTTGATTAAAAAAGTAAACTTGGATCAATTCAACTCTCCAACTTTTTCCTTTCGGCTTTGAGTGGGCTAAACAGTGTTGGCAGATTATTGAATAATATGCAAACTTATAGGCGCCCACAAAGCCCTACTTATTGCCTTCAGTCCCCACTTCCCCCCAGTGTTTAGTTTTACCACTGTTTGTCTCTGTAGATAACAAAACCACTCCATTAGACTCAAAGTCCCTTGCTTTTCTGACTTCCTTTTCATTTTAGTAATAAGCTTATTTTACAGAAAAATGTAAAAATACCAGGTGTGAATTCCCTCAATATATTGCAATACCAATTACAAGTTACCTAAAATTGCAGGCATTATTTTATTCTTTCTTCTCAGGTTGAAGAGTTGCTTGCAACTCTCAAGGCCAAACTCTTCAACCACATCACAGGTTTGCTCTCATCTCTTCTCTTCAAGTACATTCACTTTATGTGCAGAATGAGTTTCTGTCTCTCTTTCTGTCTTCCCACACACATCCTTCCAATGAATATTTAAATCTCTTCCACTACAAAAACAAACCAAGAAAGCTACATTGCCCACACATCATTCAACTTACCTGTAGTGTCAAAATTCTTACTAAAAAATTCTAAATTTGCTACCATTAATTCCTCACTATTCTGTGATGCACTAGCACCTGGGTTCTTCACATGTAGTTCCAACGTGAGTTCTGCTTGGTGTTTTCATTTATGTTAATGAGTAAAACAAAAGTGAAATAACGCAGATGTATGTTGGCAATTCACTTACTTGTCAATAATGCAAGTGACTACTTTGACTATTTTGTTGAATCAGAATAGTGTTAGAATACTGGAATACTATTTTCTCATTTTTTTGTTGTTATTTACAAAGCATCAGCTAGAGACAGGAAGCATTTAAGTTTACTGTGCATTATCAACATTTTCTCAGTCATGCTCTTTAGTCTAGAGATTTAATAAAACAATAAGGTAAGTCTTGATTAGTACTGTTTGCTGATTTATGTGGAGTAAATATGTCTACCATGGCCAGTTTCAAGTTACCATTATGAGGTTATTGAATGCAAAGTCGGACACAGATATAGAGTCATAGTACATCAGTGGCATTAGATGGTATTTCCACCAGAAAGATACAATAGAGGCAAATAATCCAAGAGCATAGATCGTTAAAAAATGGAGTAGCACAACCAGAAGGACCTGTAACCAGAATATACAACTATACACTGGCGGGCTTTGGGGAGAAGAAGAAAAAAAATAGAAGAAGATTGGCAACAGACGTTCGTTCAGGTACCAATCTAAAAAAAATATGCAGTAAAACAAGAAGCGAAGAATTTTGTATATTTATTGTAATGTATTTAATCGTCAAGTTTATTCTAGTAATGAGTGTGTTTAGTAATTGGCTCTCAAAATTCTTAAAAATGTAACCATTGGCTCTTGTGAGCTGGTACAAACTGGCTCCAACCTGCCATTGTGATGATCCCAAGAGTCTGTAAACTCCATTCCTCCCACATGTGGGAACTCTGAGGGGACTAAATAAATAACAATATCTTTCCCTACAGGACTTCTGAACAAATTGAAGAATGGAAAATGTATTTATGGGAGCCAAAAGTTAACCTTTTTTGATGATAATAACTAAATTGGAGAATATGGCTTCAGCTGATACCAAGCACCAGCATTACCAGAAGCTAGGAAAGAGACAGGGAACAAATTCTCCTCCACAGCCCTCAGAAGGAACCAACTCAGCTTACATTTTGATTTCAACATCTAACTTCCAGAATTATGAGACAATAAATTTCTGTTGTCTCTCAGTTTGTGGCACTTCATTACAACAGTCCCAGGAAACTAATACACCCACTCAGGCATGGTATCATTGATAGGGGTAAGATTCCTTCCGAGGAGGGGACCCCCATACAAAAAAGCACTGGAAAGTTATTTGGTAAATTGACTCATTCTCAAAGTGAAGACGGGCATAGCTGAGGTAAGCTTGCTCACTTATTCCTTCCAAACATAATAATCAAATAAGTCACTGCAAAACCTCATGGCAAAGTGGATAAAAGAGTGACAGAAAGACAAGTAATGGGCTTAGGAACAATAACATCTTCACATAAACTATGAATTCGCCTTTAACATCCCAAAATTCATAAAAAATGCTCTTACTTCGATGAAAAATTCCAATGGACGCATTGTGGCCGGATGTTACTTGCCTGTCTGCAGCCTTGGGCAGTTTACAATATTCCCTCTCCTAATTTGTTTCCAGATATTTCATAGCACTGTTTTTCTGTCCTTCTCTCACCTCACACTTGGTCTCCTGTAAAAACATCTCTCTTTAGTTATCCTGTTACTTAAGATGCTCACTTCATTTATGTGTCCCCAATATACTCTGTGGATGATCTTGTTTGCTCTCTTGGATTCAGTAGGCAAACAAAATGTAGGCAAACAAAATTCTCACATCTACGTCTGAGGTCAAGATGGTTTCAATGAGCTCACAACCAACTTTGTTGCTGATATTCGATTCTTCCTCCTTGTATCTACAGCAAGCACCTTTAACTCCGTATTTTTAAAATTGAATTAGCATATTTCCCCCTAAATATTTTCCTTTTCTGTATGTCCTAACTCATTTTAGGGCACCATCATCTATATACTGAAGACCAGAATCTGAGGATCATTCTCTTTTCCCTGTTCTTACACTGACCATCAAGTCAAAATTGCCAACAGACCTTGATAACTCCCAAAGTAGACTACTCATTGATTCTTTTTCCCATACTACTTCCTTTCATTCAGATTTCTATACCGAAAAACAGAATATTCATGAAACGAAAATTTCATCGTGGCACTCCCTTGCTTAACACCATTAATGGCTCCTGATGGGCCTCCAAGGAAAGTCTAAATTTCTAAGAATCTCATTTAAATTAATTTTTATGCCTAGGCCTCATATTGTCATACATGTATGTACATAGATACATATATACATGTATATATTATCACCCGAGGGCAGTCATCTGCTTGCCACAAGACATGCCAATAGTCAAGAGGCAAGGTAGTAGGAGAGAAAGTGTTTATTTATTATAGCTTGCTAGCAAGAGGGAAGATGGCCAACTAATGTCTGAAAGAACCATCTTACAGAACAAAGACTACAGGCCAGTTACATAGGGGGCTGGTCTCTGGGTGGGGCAGACATCTTTTCCCAGTTCTTGATAGTCCTTTGTTTTACTGGATATGCATCAGAGACCAGAAGAATACCCTATACCCTGATCTTTCAGTTGTCATTGATGATGGCTATCAGCATAGGCGCTCTGCCTGGGGGTCATCACATTCCTAAGGAACTCAAAGGAACAAAGTTATCATCTTAAAGCAGTTGGGAATGGCCACAAAATCTACAGAGCATGTCTGGGCTAGTTAATCAGAAGTCATTAAAAATTACAATATGATTTCTTTTCTACAATATGGCTTCCCTATGTCAACTTTGTGTTGAGTGGATATCATATATATAGGTTAATAGTTGTGTGTATATATGTGTAAATACAACATATATAAATCCAAATCCAAATATATCTATTTGTATTCAGATTTACTGTAATTTATCTTTCCTGTGGGCCCATACACACACTAGCTTCTTCTCCAGACCATCCCCCTGTAATTTCTTTTTTCCATTTTTGATTTTTTTATCAGGAAATAATAGTGGGAGACAGAATCAGTAATCCAAAGAATCTTTGTACTCAGACCTTCACATTCAAATTGAGAAAATAGGAGGCTGGGTCCCCAAATCTGATGCTAACCACCATCAACTTAAAGAATTAAGGTCCAGCTTTACCTTTGCAACAAGTTCATCAACTTTCCTTTTTTTTTTAACTTTATTGAGATATCATTAACATCTAACATTGTGTAACTTTACGATGTACAACTTGTTGATTTGATTCATTTATATATTACACTATGATTATTACCACCTTATTGTTGCTAACACCTCCATCATGTCACATAATTACCATTTCTTTTTTGTGATGAGAATATTTAAGATCTACTCTGTTGGCAACTTTTAAGTATATAATACAGTATTGTTATCTGTAATCACAAGGCCGTGCATTAGATCCTCAGAACTTATTCATCTTCTAACTGGAAGTTTGTACTCTTGACCAGCAGCTCCCCATATCCCCCAGCTCCCAGGCCCTGGTAACCATCATTACACTCTCTGTCTCCATGCGTTCAGCTCTCTTAGATGCCACATGTAAGTGATGTACAGTATTTGTCTTTCAGCGCCTGCACTGTTCAACCCACTCAAAGCTGAAGGGAAGTTGGAGGGTTGGATTGATCTCAGGTTTACTCTTTAAATCAAGATAGATGAAGGGACTCCCATCATTGAGAGCACTAAGGAGTTAGTGATTAGGGAGCAGGATCCTAGTGTCTAGCCTGAGGAGCCAATAAACTGATGACAGGATATGGCTAATGACTTGAAGAAAGGTGAAAGCCCAGCCACAGAGCACAGAAGAAGGCCAAGGACTATTGTTGGAGGAATGACAGAAAGAATTAAAAAAAATTTACTAATTATATTCTTCGTATTATTTCTGTTTCTAATCTTTATATCTTGGTTTTCCGTCTTAATTTCCCTAGCTTCTTTCACATTCTATCAGAGTGGAAAAAATATATATATATATTTCACAAATTTATTCTCAGTATTGGCAAATGAAAAATTAAATCACTAAAATTATATTTCAGTTGAAAACATACGGATATTGCAAGGCACACAATATCCTTGAATACTTTCTTCCTGTTAAGGCTAATTACAGTAAGATAAGGAAATGGTAAAATAACTTTCTTCCAGATATTGGCATTTGGGGAAATCTTTTATTGTATTTTGCTTCTTGAGATGAGAGCTTTGACAGTACATATTGATGTTGTGTCTGTTTTCTGCTTTGCTTTTCCAAGGAAATGTTCAAGCTATGAAACGCTTTTTTTCCACTTCAGGTACTTCATAAACTGACAACGGCTATGGAAGGATGAAGTTAATCAGATCAGAACAATATTCTTGTATTTATTGTATTCTAAAGTATTTATGCTTGGATTATAATTCAATATTCAAATTAATGTATATAAAAATGCTTATATTTTATCCACACATTTTTGGGTTAGTGTCTATATCTAATTGCTGTGCTTAAAATTAACAGTAAAAATGTCAAAATATGCAGCATATGCATGTAATGTTTAATATCTGTTAGATATCTGTTTAAGAGAAGATGTGGATAGTATTTTATAAAACAATTATGAGAGTTCATGTAATCCAGAAGATGGTGCTGTTTACATTTCTACTGCATTTTGGAACTGCTGAGAAACAATTTATTTCAATTCAGCCATTGATGGGTTGTAAATTATTGAGCATACCTTCGCAATAGGAACAGTTAATGTAGCTTTGCTCTTGAGGATTTCACATTTACAAATAATTTGCATAACATTTCCACGGGAGATATTAGAAAATGTACTACTTCACAAGCAATCTCACATTAATGGAACCTGATCAGTTGCAGCCATCCCAGTTATCTTCTGCCAGGAGTACGCTCAAATGTGAAAATACGTATTAGATAAAAGACCTATTTAATTTTCTGGTTACTTATATGGCTATTAAAATGTAACATGTAGACCATTAAAGTAGCGATGATCCTTACTTAATGGAATGTGAATTTATTCTTCCAAATAGTGAACAGTTTTATGGTAAGTTTTTGTGACATGTTAATTATGTACTATCCAGGCACAAAAGCTTCAGCTGGTTAACATAAATAAATGGGATATGTGGTATTTATAATATATTAGAACTATTCCACTTCGTCTGAAGGATAGCAATGGATCATGCAAGCAGTTTTGTAACAACTTGTAGTGCTTTGGGACGGAGGTAGGAAGGTCCACCCCAGACATTTTCCAAGACCATCACTTGCAACGCTCACTGTCTCTGTTCAGAAAATCATAGCCTCAAAAGCAAATCCGGTAACGGAAACTTAAACATAGCTTTTCCAATCCCGTTAACAGCAAATTGATGTAAAAAGAATGGATGAAGGAGATCTGAAAATACAGGACTGTTTCTAGCATAGACCAAATTTTAAGTATTTTAATATAGAATTAATGTTGTGACCTAGAGGACTAAATTAGTAATATATGTTTATTGAGAGGGGAGAAGTCTGCATAGATTGAGTGAGCTACACTTTTATTAATCATAGGATAATTTCTATAGACAATATTTAAAGCAGATGAAAAGAAAAATCAATATAGACACATTAATCTAAGAGATAAGATAATCTAAGAGAAAAAAGAGGTAAAGTGTTAACTGTGTTTTTTTCTAAGGAGAGGGCATTTAGGTGCAGAAATGTGGGGTGGAGAATGATGAATTACTTACATTGTCTCTTATTTGCTACTTGATTTTTTTTTTAAAACACATTAGTTCTTTTATAAAAAGTAAAGATATGCCTGGGAAAACCAGAGCAGAGACTTCTGAGATGGTCAGAAGAATCTTTATCAGAATCATTTGGAGTGTTTTATGTTTGTTTGGTTTTAGTATTTTTGTACCTGTTCTTTGCTATTTTAAAATAGCTTTCTTGGTCACCTTACACCCATTAGAATGACAAAAATATCTAAAACTAATAGTAACAAATGTTGGAGAGGTTGTGGAGAAAAAGGAACCCTCATACTCTGCTGGTGGGAATGCAAACTGGTGCAGCCACTATGGAAAACAGTATGGAGATTCCTCAAAAATTAAAAATAGAACTACCATACGATCCAGCCATTCCACTGCTGGGTATCTATCCAAAGAGCTTGAAGTCAGCAATTCCAAAAGTCCTATGCACCCCAATGTTCATTGCAACGTTATTTACGATAGCCAAGACATGGAAGCTATCTAAGCTCCCATCAACAGATGAATGGCTAAAGAAGATGTGGTATATATATACAATGGAATACTACTCAGCTGTAAAACAGAACAAAATCATTACATTTGCAATAACATGGATGGACCTTGAGGGAATTATGTTAAGTGAAATAAGCCTGTTAGAGAAGGATAATCTCTGTATGACTCCACTCATATGAGGAATTTAAAAATGTGGACAAAGAGAACAGAGTAGTGGCTACCAGGGGAAAGGTGTGGTGGGGGCTGGGCACAAAGGGTGAAGGGGCGCACCTACAACACGACTGACAAACGTTAATGTACAACTGAAATTTCACAAGATTGTAACCTATCATTAACTCAATTAAAAAAAAAGGAAAAAAAAAAAATAAAATAGCTTTCTTGGGCTTCCCCTCAGAACTGCTACAGCAGACTCTTAAGGTTGAGCCTTGGAAGACTGGTTCTTTGACAAACGTTTCAAGTAACTTTGACTCACGGCAAAGTTTGCAGACACCTACAAAGTCGGAAGCTGGAAAGGAGTCATACAGTGGCAGGAGAATGAGAAGGATACGAGATCTCAATAAACACAGGGCAACATGATGTAAACAAGCAACATAATTAAATAAAACAAGAAAGTACATAAAAGATTTATGGATATGATCCCTTTAAAATTTAGATAATGCAGGCTTTTAGTGGGACATGCCTCTTACCAAATGACTGTTATTTTCCCTTGTTCCTGAGCCACAATAAGCTTAATGCAACAATTAGTTATCTCATTTCATTTTCCTAGATCTCTTTCCCAAAAGTAGTTCTAAGACTTAAGTTGCCTAGAGCAAAAGTCTAAGGAGTATGTTGCAGCTGGTGTTCCTGATGACTGTGATTTAGGTAAATAGTCAGTGCTTCTGGAAATATAATTGGGTTTCTTTGTCCTCTTTGATAAGGTCTTTTTTGAACTAATTTGCAGATGCTATGCTTTTTCTGAAATTTATAAATTAAAATTTCTTGGATTATTTATGTGTTACTTCTGGATTTAAAATGTAAAAGATGATTATTCTTCTGAGCATACTCTTTTCCAATGGTTAAAAGTATTTGCAGAAAGGAAAGTATTTGAAAAAAAGGTTTTGATCCTATCAACTTTTTCCATGTGCAAGATATGCTTTATTTTACTGTGTCTATGCTTTTTTAGATTACCCAATGCTCACACCTTTTGAAACAAACAAACAAAAAGATAGTTTTCTAGAAACCATTGTCAAGATAGGGATGTTGATAGAAGCAGGTGTGTTAATTCCTGTCAGATGCCGCGTCACTTTTGAGTCAATGACAGACCACACATACAACAGTGAGTGCATAAGAATAGTACCGTGTAGCCTAGGTGTGTAGTAGGCTATACCATTTAGATTTGCTTAAGTGCACTCTATGATGTTCCCACAATGTTGAAATCACCTAACGACACATTTGTCAGAACACATCCCTGTTGTTAAGCAACGCATGACTGTAAATCAGTTCCTACCAAACTATTTCATGATACAATCCCTTACCGAATAAGAATCCCATTCTTCCTCTGGATAGTTTACACAGAAATAGTGCATCAGTGTATATTCTTGTAGGCACTTGATGCAATTTTAGATAAGTGACACACATACAAAATATAACTCTCAGAATTTATGAACAGAATCTATACTCACAAAGTTGTATGAGAACAACTAGTGTATATAGGAGATCAAATTAGATTTTGTCTATATTCTTAAATATTATTTGCAAACTTAAATGGACTTATTTGGGCAAAAAGTTATGATTTAATGTTCTACATCATACTCTTATGATCAAGTATTACATGGTATTTAAAATTTTTTTTTAAATGTGACCGTTTGGGAGGAGTGGAGAATCATACAATTCATGCCTCATCTCTGATATCCTGATATTTTAACATGTGAATTGATTTCCTGCATGTATTGTGTAATTTAGCATTTCTTCCTCTCTGTAAAATTTTTACTTCCTGTTTTATATTTCCCTTTTTTTTACTGTGATATGACTACATTAAATGTTTATTTTTTCCCTTAGGTTTTAAACATTGAGATATATAAGAATTTAAAATGAAATGTTTGAAAAATATAACAGCAACGATAAACAAACTAGGCCTCTTACTGCTGTCCTTGGGGGGGGTGTGTGTATGTGTGTGTTTGTGTGTCTGTAAATGGGCATACTACTCTCCCAGTATGTCTTTTGCACAAGTGTTGTTACTGCTTTTGTATTTTTTATTTGTTTATGCTTCTGGGTAAGACGGTTTCAAGATATAGTTTCAAGGGTGTAAAAAAATGGAAAACTCTTGCTCTAAGATATTAATACAAATGGAACATCACAAGTGCACTCAAGTGATTTTTATTCAGCATTATAAAAAATTATTTCTGAACACTGGCCTGCTTTTCTTTTTTATTGTATGCTTTATCTTTCCTTTTCAATTATTCATAGTCTCCTAAGGACCACTTTCAGTATAAAATAGTATCTATGGGAGGTAAAAATGGCAAGAAATGTATTTCTGAATGGATTACAGAGAAAGATCTACTTAGAAATTTAAATGTATGTGGTCAACATAGAAGAAGATATATGAACCTACTCAATAACTCTTTTACCAACAGTTGTCTGGTTATAGCCTGTTTTAACCTTCTGATTTTCTTTCTGGGAAGTGTGTAGGTGTTTTTTTTCCCTTTATTTCTTCTTATGTCCAATTTACTTTTATGTTATGTAATTTGATGTGAAGTGAAGGGCTTTCTTTCTGAGTCTATTTGTTTCTTTGTACTATATTTAGCAATATTCTGACGTGATTTAGGATATGTATAGCCCATATTTATTTTTTGAGCATCCATTAAAAAAAACTTTTACTGCTCTGCTCTTTCTTTCTAATCTCTAAAAATATTTTAAAGTATTTGCAGCTCTTTACCTAGCTTTCCTTAAAACAAAATTCTGCCCTTTTTTGTATTTTCATAGTCTACTATTTCAAAGTTTTCTTTTCTTTTTATTTTTAAACTATTTCAAGCATACAATGAAAAGTAAAAAATAATGCAACAGAAATTTATGTATCCACACTCAGAGGGAGTTTAGACATATACCAGATTGATTTTATTTACAGATATACTGATACAGATAAAGCAAACTTTTCCTCAATCACAATATTCAAATATTATAGATAACTATTTTTCAATATTTCAAAAAATTTATTTTGGAATCAAATCTCTCCTCAAAAAGAAATTTGAATTTTTTAAAAAAAGTGCTGAAAAAAGCAACAGAGAACATCACACATACAGCCTCTCAACTATAAGTTTGTTTTCGCTAAATACAGCCTGTGTACAATCATCGAGCTAATACAAAAATACAGAATGTTTGCTTGTCTGCTTGTTTTCTTTTGCTTTTCTTAGAACCTTAGAGAAAATGGCAGTGATTGTTTCTACATCTATGAATCAGTTTCTAAATATTATAAAATGCGTGTGACTTGAACTGAAAATAATTTTAACGTTCGTGTAGTTCAACCTCCTTATTTTAAAGGAAGAAGAACCTGAACCTCGACAAACTTCATTCTCCAACCCTGAGGTGGGACCTTTATTCATGATGTAAATAAGGTGACTGCACGCAATTACATCACGTCTGAGGATGGACTTTGTCCCCATATAATCAGTGGAACAGTGTAGAGAACCACAGAAAGGTAAAGAAATCAGGGACGCTTAATCAGTCTAGTATGTGTGTTTTGGATATCAGGAGAAATAATCAGGAAAACCTAATGATAAGCTCTGGATCACTGAGGTGTTTTGGAAGCATAGCGCACAATGATGCTTGGACCAGGGCTGACCATCTGGAAGATTTCCTTTTCCTCTGGGAAGACAAAGCCCTCAAACTGAAAGAAAAGACGTGTGTGGCCTTTTGCAGACATCCTGATGCAACTCTTGATAGATACAGCACCTAAGACGGGTGCAACAAAAAGCTTCAAAACATTCTAAGGAAGAAGATATTGGTGAAATAAAAATTAAAATTGGGATGTATGTAATTAAGATACAAATTTCTCTTACAAATACTGATCCTGCAGACATCGAGCATAGCTATCAAGAACACTGTAATTCCAATCCCGACTAAAATTCAGTCCAAGGAATGCAACTGCCTAGCTATGTAATCATGTGCAAACTGTTCAGTCTATCTGTTTCGGCACTTTAAAAATGACCTCCCTCTTAAATTTGCTATGGATAGTCAATAGGTTAAAAATATAAAGGATTTGGATAATGATGGGCCCTTGGAAATTGCTTGTTCAAGTTAAATATTACCCAAGTACAATGTTTTGGAGAAGAAGTTGCAATCTCTTCTTTATATTCATGACCCCTCTGCTCTGCTGTGATCTTGTCGAGGTGCTGGCTCAGCGTGTTCACACTGCTGGGAATTTCAAAAAGAAAATGAAAGCAAGAAAAACCCATACACCTAAAGGATAAAAGTATAAAAAGAAGGATGTGGGGGTTTCTTACTAGGATATTTTCTTGCCTTCTGCTTTTGCCCTCTGGCAAAAGCCAGGGTGCATCCGAGCTCTAGAAATACTACGCATTATTCCTTCCCTCACTGGTCAAGACTGATGTGCCTGATTTTTTAGCATTCAGACAGAAATCACTTTCCCTTTAACCCTATCTATGGTTCATGTTCTGTGTTCTTACTTCTGACCCCAGAATCTTGCCTCTTCTCACAAGAAACAGAATTGAATCACCTATCAATTAAAAAGCTCTATCTGCCCACAGTATTGTTATCTAGCTTTTGGTCCCGGGCAAGACTATTATAATACATTAAATCCATTCTGGGAAATACCTGAATGATCTGGGTTTCAGGCCAAAGAGCTCTCTAGATATTGGCCATATGTCAAGGCTTTCTTTGTCTACAAAGAGACAGGATTGACAAACTGTCACTTGTAGTTCTGTAGCTTAGACCTGAGAGACTGACCACAGCACCGCCAGGGAGAACGGAAGTCTGTGGGAACGAGGAAAGGAAAGAGGTATTTGTAATTTTTAGGAAATCCTTGTGATACTTTGCCTTCCTCTCAGTGTTTAATAGAGTAAGAAAATGTATAATTGGATATTGGTGTTGTCAATCATTATCATTTCCAGAAAGGATAGAAAATAAAATAAGAGGTCAATATATCTTCCTCTTTGAAAAATTCTACTTTTCCTGAGGAATCTTGTCATAAGGAAAAATAATTTTGCATATTCTCTACATGTCCCCAGAACTGTTGAAATAAAGGAATTAAAAAAGAGGTGGAAATGAGAAGAGGGAGAGAGAGAGAGAAGAAGAAAGAGAGGAAGGAAGGGAGGAAAGCAGGCAGGGAGGGAGGCGAGGAATGGAGCAGGTGAAGAATGGGGGAGAAGAGAGGAGGAGGAAGGAAAAGAATGAAAAAAAATCTTAAAATCCTAGCAGAGCACAGAAGCAAGTGAAAGTAAAACAGGGAAGACGTTTAAGGTTATTTTTAAAAAAGGCTAAAAGGACACTAGAAAAGGTTTGCTTCTCTCTCTTTTGGTGTCTTAAAATTTAGCTCATTGCCCTTTTGGTAATAAACATTAAGCCTGGTCCAAAAAACAGAGTCAGCTCTTCATGAAACATGCTGAAGTCAACTGGCAAATAACATGAAATGAAGAAATATATGTCCAGCCAGTTTAATGACCAAAAAACCAAGGAAATGTTGAATTAGAAACTCCTACATTACAGAAACACAGCAGACAATACCAATCACCATTGTTGCAACTTCTTTCACTTGTCAATAATCCACAGTTAATCTACAAGCGCCATCTCTTTTCTGGAACTGGACAAATTGGGCATTTGAAGTAGAAAATGGAGGCAAATAACTCTTAGTTTGTCTGATTACAAAATTAGAGTAGCAAATTCATTTACTCTTCTCAGAAAGAGGGACTGTGTCATAATATAGTGAGTCAGAGAAGTTCCAGAAGCTCCTATTTTTAATGTCCACTTGCCAGTAATCTCATTCAAATAGGGGCTTCTTCATTCCCTAGGATCTCAATAAATCAATTCTAATAACACATTCAGGGCAAGTTTTTATTGTTTTTTGTTTTTGTTTCTTCTAATTATTTTATAACTTCCTCTGTAAGGGTGGCAGCTCACCAGTGAGCCAGTACAATGCATTGACTCCCATGACACACACACAAACACACACACACACACATCCTTGATGTCATTATTCTGGCCAGCTACCACTTTCTTCTTCTGCTTCCTTTTAAAGCAAAAATGCCACAACAGAGACATCGTTACTCAATGTATTTACTTTCACTCTGGATATTCTCTATTAAGCACTGAAATCAGTCCTTAGCTGCCTCACAAGACTGAAACTTTCATTATAAAGGTTATCAATGATTTCAACTCACCAAATGTAAACGTCAGTTCTCAACATTCATCTCTCTTGACCTATCTGATTTTGATAGATGCCCATATTTTCTTTATAGCACTTATTTTTCCTTGATGCTGAAATAACGCTTTATTTTGCTTCTCCTAATAACCTTTGGGGTGCTCCCTCTCAAATACCTTTGCTAGATTCCCTTCATTTTCCCAAGTTCTTGATTTTGGACTACCCCAGAAGTCAGTTCTTACAAGTCTTGTTTCTATCTATACTCACTTCCTAATTTATCTTCTTCAGTCTCATGGTTTTAGATAAGATTGTATTACTGTCCAATAAATTGCCACAAAACATGTGGCTTAAAACGCTATCAATTTATTCTCTCACAGTTCTGAAGGCCAGAAGCCCGAAATGAAGGTGTTGGTGTGCCTGCACTCTGTCTCTTCTAGCTTTTGGCAGTTGTCGCCATTCCTTGACTTCTGACGGCATGACTCCAACCTCTGCCTCTATAGTCACATCACCTCTTTCTTTGTATGTCTATTCTCTGTGTGTCTCCTATAAGAGCACTTGTCATTGGATTTTTGGCCCACTTTCATTATCCAGGATGATCTTTTTATCTTAAGATCCTTAACTTAAGTCCAACTGTACAGATTCTTTTTCCAAATAAGTTATTATTCACAGTTTCCAGGGATTTCACAGGTTCCAATGAATAGCTTCTGGTGGATCATTTTTTGATCTCTCTCAATGATCTATAGACTAATAATGCCAACATGTGATTTTCCAGGCCCCACATCTTCCATGACAGTTTTCAGATATTTGGCTGACATCTTCATTTGTGAGATTCATAAGTATCTCAAGGAAAAAAAAAAATTCTACCTAGCTTTATCAGTCAGGGTTCAACCAGGGAAGTAAACCAGAAGATATATATTATGAGACTGATTGCAAGGAATTGGCTTGTGTAATTTTGGGGACTGGCTAGGGCAATTTCCAAATTGTAGAGTAAGCTCTAGGTGCAGGCTGGGATTCCCGAGCACAGCCTGAAGCTGTGTCCAGAGGTAGAATCTTTACATCAAGGAAGACCTAGCTCTGCTTTTAAGGGCTTTCGGCTAATTGAGTCAGACTCACTCAGATTGTCTAGGATACTGTCACTTCCTTAAAGTCAACTGATTATGGGCTTTAATCATGTCTTCAAATACCTTCAAGGCAACACCTAGATTAGTGTTTAACTGAATAACTGGTGACTGTAGCCTAGCTCAATTGGTTCATCACAAAAAATATCACATCACCCCTCAATCTGTTCATTATTTAGTCTACCCAATCTCAGTGTTTTAGAACTCTATTTGTCTATTACTTAGGCTAAAAACAGTGGTAGCATGTTTGACACTTGACTTTCTGTCATATTCCACATCTGTCATTAGCAAATCCAAAACATATTCAGAAGTGTTCAACTTCTCAGCATCTCCATCAATACCTCTCTAGTCCAGGGCATGGTTATTACTCTCCTGAATTATTTGTATGCCTTTTTAAATTGTCTACACTCAGCGGTTATTGTGATTCTTTCTACTGATTTCTATCTTTTGGCTCAAGAACGTCTAAGAGGTTCATTCAAACATTCACTCAAAACAAGACCTCTGACCTGACCTCCTGCCGTTCTTCTCCTTTCCAAAGTAAATCTGCACCATATCCTGTTAAAAAAAAAAAATCTCGGGGCTGGCCCAGTGGCCGAGTGGTTAAGTTCGCGCGCTCCGCTGCAGGCGGCCCAGTGTTTCGTCAGTTTGAATCCTGGGCGCGGACATGGCACTGCTCATCAGACCACGCTGAGGCAGCGTCCCACATGCCACAACTAGAAGAACCCACAACGAAGAATACACAACTATGTACCGGGGGGCTTTGGGGAGAAAAAGGAAAAAATAAAATCTTAAAAAAAAAAAAAATCTCATCTCTCCATATTAATTCCTTACCTAACACTTTTTAATTTTTTATTTAAATAATTTTTTCTGACACTTCACATATAAAATGTCTGGCAGTATATCTCCCAGATCTAGAATATAATCATCATAGGATCTGGGTCATTGATACATTTTACTCTGGTTATATCTCCAATGCTAAAAGAGTGTTTGTTCAAAATAAATGTTTGTCAAATAAATAAAATAATTAAACGTTGCACAAAGTCATATTATAGGAAGTACCCTCACTGACATACACTCTTATACTAAATCTTCCCTGGTCTACCTTGACAGTAACAGAATATAGTAAAAGTGTTGTCTTTTCCATGTCACATCATAAGCTTATTTTGTTACTAAAGTTCAATGACTGAAATTTTCTTATTTTTAGAAAATTTACTAACAGTATTTTATCAGTAATATAAATAAATTGTAAAGTCTGTCTATTCTTATATGTTCTATAGACATAATTTATAGTTTAATAGAAAATGCGTGCATGCTTTGGTTAAAAAATATTAAGATTCATTAACCGATTTTTGACCTGCATCTTAAAATAAACCACATCATCATGGGTTAATTCAAATTTTCTGTTGAATTTACAAGACATTTCTATATCCACAGTGACTTTAGGCATTATTGACTTTTTAAGACTGCTTTCTGCATTATGTTTTACACCTTAGACGTTTTTAAGCAAGAAATTAAAAGTGATCAATAGGCAATTTTTATAACATTTAAATGTATATCTGTAAGTAGAAAATTGCTGTACCATAGCTTATTTTTAAAAAATAAATTGAAAAATAGAACCTAAGCCTCATTCATCCATTCATCAAATTGTCATTAACAGTCTATATACAATTCTGTTCATCAATACGACTGTACATCTCTTTCCATGGGTTGAGACAGGTAAAAGGAATGATGTAAACATAATTAGCATCAGATGATGTGTTGCGGTTAGTAATAAAGGAGATAAGAGACATAAACCATGCAGTGTGGGTGGTTATTTTATGTAAAATGATCAGGGGAGACCGCTCAGATATAGTGACATGTAAGCAGGAACCCCAAGGAAGTGAGGGATTGAGCCGTCACATATCTGGGGTCAGAAACAG